ACGTTTTTAGTTTTATCCAATGATATATAAGTAATAATAACTAGGAGTTACTCATATCAGATACGAAGATTATTTTATCGTTAAGTATTACGCTACTTACCCGACTGGCATAATATTCCTGAAAAACCTGCTCTACAACTGCACGTATAAGCATTATTCGAATCAATACAAGTTCCATCGTTTAAACACGGATTTGACAAACATTCGTCGATTTCTATAAAGTTGTGGTAAAAATTGTTGTTAGTTTTATTCAGAGGTATAATAATAATAATAGATTATTAACATCGGGTATGAAATTTTTTTTGTAAGTATTAGATTGAACACGTTACCTACCTAACTGACATAATGCTCCTGAAAAACCTGCTTTACAGCTGCATGTATAACCATTATTAGAATCAATACAAGTTCCATCGTTTAAACAAGGATTTGATAAACATTCGTCGATTTCTGTAATGCAGTAAGGAAAACAGTTTTTAATTTTATCCAATGATATATAAGTAATAATAACTAGGAGTTACTCATATCAGATACGAAGATTATTTTATCGTTAAGTATTACGCTACTTACCCGACTGGCATAATATTCCTGAAAAACCTGCTCTACAACTGCACGTATAAGCATTATTCGAATCAATACAAGTTCCATCGTTTAAACACGGATTTGACAAACATTCGTCGATTTCTATAAAGTTGTGGTAAAAATTGTTGTTAGTTTTATTCAGAGGTATAATAATAATAATAGATTATTAACGTCGGGTATGAAATTTTTTTGTAAGTATTAGATTGAACACGTTACCTACCTAACTGACATAATGCTCCTGAAAAACCTGCTTTACAGCTGCATGTATAACCATTATTAGAATCAATACAAGTTCCATCATTTAAACAAGGATTTGATAAACATTCGTCTATTTCTGTGATATAATAGTGAAAACAGTTTCTAGGATTATTCACTGATATGAAGATAACAACAATGGATTACTCATATTGAGTATGAATGTTATATTAAATCATACTGACCGAATTCGCAATTTATCCCTTGGTAGCCACCGGAACATTGGCAACTGTACCTATCGATATTATTTACGCAGG